TTTCAAAGCATTTTAATAGACTTATTTAAGTTTCACAGTTCTTCTGTGAATGAAGTGGCCCCTCCATTTACTGTTGCGATTTAGAAATGAGATCGTCTCACCAGCTAGGATAGTACGGATAATATGATGAAGCTGAGCCCTGTTTAGGGGCTTTGGTTCTGAGGTTAGTCTTGCTTTCAGTATGCAATGGCTGCATCTTTTATTATAAGAGATTCCTGTGCATTTAAGAAGATCTAAGTATGAATTTGATTGAACAGAATTGTAGAGGAGCTGATAAACTTCCTGTCGGTATTTCGATGGAATGAAACTGAGCGTTGCAGTCCTGGCTTGGAGACAATCCTGTACAGTCACTAACCCCAGGATGCCACACCCTCGAAGAAATCTTATGCTTTCGCAGTGGATTGCTGTGGGGCTTAGGGTCACTCTGGATTTTTATTTTGTGACGGTTTAGTAAGTTTTTATCAGTGAACTCTTTCTTTGCCCATCAGCTTTGGTCTGGAGAGGCAAGCTGGGAGTTGTTGGGAAGGGAATGGTCTTTCCCCTTTATTCCTCTTTCTAACAAGGGAGGGAGGATCTTTCAGTATGAATTACTGATGGGATAGGTTTCTTTCTTCCTGTAATAAGACTTACATGACACAATCTCCCATTTTCCCAGTTTTTAGGTGCAGCGTTCCAGAATAGTAAGTGCATTCTCCTTGTGACATACAGGTCTTCCCTTCCTATGTCTAGAACATTTTCATCTTCCCTAACCGAAACTGTGTGCTCATTGCACACAAACCTAGAAATCAGTGTGGAGACTCCTCAAAAACTGAAACTAGATACTGCATTTGACCCAGCTCTTCCCTTCCTAGGAATCTTCCTGGAGCAGGTAAAGACATCATACTGCAGTGATCCGTGCACACTCATGTTTATAGCAGCAAGCTCACTATAGCTACGTCTTGGAAGTGATCTGTATGTCCACTGATAGATGAATGGATAAAGGACACATGGTGTTTATGTACCATGGAGTACTATGCTGCTATAAAGAAGGATGGACTTGGGCCATGTATAGAGAAATTGGATTCACCAGGAGAGCATAATATTAAGTGAAATACATCAGACACCCAAGCTTAAATATCACATGGTTTCTCTTACATGCGAAACCCAATGTATAAATAAAGAGCAAAATAAAAGATAAATAATAAAATGCATAGAGATAGATTGTTGGGAGAAGGAGAGAGGAGGGCAGGAGTGAGAAAGGGATGAAGCTGTGTCTGCATGTGTGCCAGCTCTTCAGCAGGAATGGGAGGTTGTGCGTGCAAACCAGTATTAATACAAACAAGAACCTCAGAACGCAATGACTTCCCTCCTCCCGTCCGTGGCCCCTGGCAGTCTCCATCCTGCTGCTGTCTGTGAGTTCAACTGCCCCACAGTCCGCCTGTGAGGGGACCCCACCGCGTTTGTCCTTCATGTCTGGCGTCCTGTTTGACCCCTCCAGCACCCTCATAGCATAGATGCTTTTCCGATTTCACAGGGAAATGGAGGCTCAGAGAGGTTCTGTGTCTGGTGAGGCCACGCAGTGAGTTGTGCAGTTGGAATTTCAGTTCCGGTTGCTGATTCTGCTGCCCACACTGGCCATTGCGACGTGGTGTCCTTCCGTGGGTAAGTGGAGAAAAGAGCGCCAGCACGACTGCGCTGTGAGCTGGACTGGGAGGTGGCAGGGATGGGGGCAGAGGAGTATTACGTGTCACAGCCACTGGAGAGTGGTCATGATCTCAGGCACCAGAAGCGCTCTGCAGACAGCTCCCAAGGCGGAGCCCAGCGTCCAGCTCTAAGGGTTCCGATGGAAACAAAGGCCAGGAGGAGCTGGGGTGCCAGCTCAGCTGTCTCTCCTCCTCTGAGTTTACCTGGTAAACTCCAGAGTCAGACACAAATCAAGAGGCCTGGGTGGCATCAGGGAGAAGCCCCTGCTCCTATGATTCAGTTTCTGCTGCTTGCTACGTCTTTCCGTGGGCACACGGCCCAGCAGGTTTTGAACCCAGGGTACCCAGAGGGCTCCGTGTGGCCCCTCCAGATCAGCGCCGCCACCAGCCTGAGTCTGTCGAGGTTACAGCTGTGGGACCAACTCTTGGGATAGCAGGAGCAATTCCTCTCCCTCCTGTTAATTCCTTTTCCTCCGGGGGGCGGGGCTCGAACCCAGGGTGTGGGTGCCGTGCCACCAAGCCACACCCCCAGCTCTCCCTTGGCACGGTGCCTTGTTGTATTTTTCTTTTCACGGCATCGTGTACTGTTTGTCACTTGTAATTGGATTAACATTATGTGATGATTATATTTTGTCAGTGCACTTAAATCGTAGCTATTATTAGGAAGCTGTTAAGGGGTTTCCGTGAGCATTTTTCCTCTGAATTAAAGTTCGCTATTGATACTATTATTCCTTCCTTTAGAATGATTACAATGGGAAAACTCGAGTGACGTTTCCTTAGGAGAGCACAGCACACACACACCTGTGTACACACACACACACTGGGAGCGGTTGTGTGTGGGAAACAGCTCATTCGTTCATTTTGAATTCAGATTGTATTGAGTGAATTACGTGAGTTGGACTTATAGGGTATAGGAAAGTTTTTCTCAAAGTGTTGAAAGTTAAAAGTTGTTGATGTATTTTCTTACAATAGGAGTACCCTTGACAAGTGAGCTGGTAATGTAACAATCCTAGCAAAATGCTGCTAATCCTATGAAGTGTTGCCTCTGTGTTTGTTAGGTAACCAGCGGATACTTCCAAAACAGAGGACTGGGGAGAGCTTCCTGCAGCTCTATGCAGCGTGAGCACCCCGAGGGCCGGAAGAGCACCCAGAATTAGAACGGGGCTGTGTCACCCCTTGGGCTGCAAGGCAGAGGGCAGACGCCAGCCCTGGGACGGGGGAGGTGTTCAGGGACCAGGCTGGGTCCTGCCAGGTCTGAGCAGAGGGCAAAGCTGGGCAGGGAGAGGCCTTGCTTTCTCCACCTGCTGGGCTCCTGCTCCTGCCTCCTTTCTGCAGGGCACAGCAGGACCCCGAGGTCAGGAGCTGGGTAACGGGGTCCCTTTCTTTTAAACATTTGAAACAATCATTCACTTCTTTGTATAGAAAATACAGTGCCTAGAAAACTGAAATTGGGGCTTGCCCAGATCACATCTGAAGTGAGTTTTAAAACCTTGTTTCTCTTACAAGAATGTACATTTACATGTGTTTTTTGAAATGGGGTCAAGGTCTTCATGCTTTCTACTCTTTCTCCATTTCTGTACTTGTTTACCCAGTGCAAACCATTTGTATACAGCAGCCTCAGCTGAGCACCCCAGAGCTGGAGTGGGAAACATTTCTGAGAGGATGCTATGGAAAACAGACTTCAGCCAATTGGGGGTGGACCAACCTCAAGTTGGGGGCGGATACAGAGATAGAGAGACCTGTAAGGTCAGCACAGGGCTGTCCCTCAGCCTCCGTGCGTGGTTCCCCGCCTCTCCACAGACCCAAACCCTTGCCGGTGCCTGTGTCCTGTGTGGGGCGGGTGTGACATCTGCATCTCTCCTCTGCCATCCTCCCACATACTTGAAATCACCTTTTAAGTTACTTCTGCCCCTTGTCGTTCAGGGACTGAGGAAAAAGGCATCTGTTGTGTTCAGGGCAGATGTTGTTTTGTTTCCCCAGCACTGTGGCCCTGTGGTTAGCTGAGGCCGCAGAGGCAGCACCACAGCCCCGAGGGCCAGCTGTCCTTGGGATGCTGTGTGGGACACAGCTGTGAGACACAGCTGCAAGGCCAGCAGCAGCCATGGACAGCAACCTGGGACAGGGGCGTGACCTGGGCCCTATGGAGGAGCTGGGAGCAGAAAAGTGAGGTCACTGAGGTGTCCTTTAGGGTGAAAATTCTGGAGGTAATGTGGGCCATGGAGTTAGGGGCAGAGATACCAGGGAGCAGTTGTGACAAGCCAGCTGCTCGCTCATGTGCTCTCTCTCTCTCTCTGTCTCTCTGTCTCTCTCTCTCTCTCTCACACACACACACACACACACACACACACACACACACACGGCCAACTTGTTATCATGTCTCCACAGCAGTGTGGAGGCGCTTTCAGGATGAGGAGCAGACGGGATCCAGAGGACCGCACATGAAATATTGGGACCCTGAGATGGCCGTCATCACAGTGGCCCCAAGTTGGGAGAGACCAGGGGGAGAACCTGGAGGTGCAAGGAAGAGATGAGTAGGAGCCCAGTGTGCTCCTGATGGAGCAGCCTGGGAGGAAACTGCCCGCAGGTTTCTGAGCAAGGAAGGAGCTGTTAGATCGGTGCTCCCGCTGGATAATGGAAAAGTTGGAGACCCAGAAAGTTTGTGTTTTGTAAACACAACCTTTGCGCCCAGCAGCCCAGCGCCTCTCCCAGCACCTCCTGTGTGATGTTTTGTTTCACTTTGCCAAGGAGGAAACCTATGCTTCAGCAGAGTGAGGGACTCCAGTCTCACAGGGGGAGCCTTCTGGAGCTTGGGCGGAGCTTAGTCTTCCCTTTCAAAAACAAACCCTGTTGAAGGCCAGCATTCCTGATGGTGTGCAAACAGCCTGGGGAATTGTAACCAAGCCCATGCACTGGGGAGCTGGGCACCACATCCAGGGCAAGGCCAGCAGCTTCCCCAGTGCTCCCTGCCGGAGCCTGACAGTGTAGTGTCCTGCCTCTTCCTGCCTGTCACATGTCTGCGCCTCCATCCTGGTTTTTATTGTGTGTCATTTGAAGCCGTCAGACTAGGACAAAAGCATCTTCTTGGGAAGGGCGAGGAAATCACAGGTGGAACCTGCCGGTATTCAAGGGTTGGTGGCAAGGGATGGGAGGGGAACCAGAGGTGTGAGGGGGATTCCCAGGCAGAGCCAGCAAGGGGTCAGACAAGGCTGAGACTCCAGTCTGTGACAAGGAGGACAGTTCCAGGCATGACCCCAGGCCAGGCAGCCCCTGCCCCAGAAGAACAAGGAGGTGGAAGAGGAGGAGGAAGAGGAGGAGGAGGAGAAAGAGGAGGCTTGGGATCCCTTCTCCCTGTGAAGTCTTGGCGCAGTGGTGTTTGTGGGAGCACTATTTGGATTTGTCAAGTTAAAGAGGCCTTCATGTGCCCAATCAAAGGGTGACAACAATGGGAGGGCATGGATGGCACATAGAGAACCCAGGAGGCGGCGTGTAGCCAGGCGATAGCTGTTGGAAGGGGGTGCACGTGAAACTTTAAAAGGCTCTTTAGGAAGGGTTCCATTGCTAGCTGCTGTCCATCAATTTTTAAAAGGTTTTTGAATCTTAGAAGATTAGAATAAAGGGATCTTTTCCAAGATATGCCTGGGAAATGATGGTGGTGCGGTTACAAACTAAATTAATAGGTGCTTGCTGTGGCTCCAGTGAGTGTGCCCCACGCCTTTCAGGCGGAGCCCCTGGAAGTGTTTTCAGATTTCTGCCTCCCCAAGCAGCTGACTGACTCAGCCTCCAGATGCCACGTCTCCATTTCCTTTCTGCACTTTGGAACCGCCAGTAAAACTCATGTTCCCAGCATAGCTGGAGTTCGGTTAGCTTACCAGGTGTACTTTTCAAAGACTTCATCTTGCCAGTTGATGGGGATGGAGAGCGAGAGGAAGAGAGGAAGAAGAGGGGAGAGGATCACTCCATGATGAGTGAGCCATCGCGTACTGCAAACGTGGTTCTCAAACAGTTAAAGACACACTTAAAATGTATGTTTTATTACTTCTGTATAAATATTCAAAGCAGAAGACTTTAAAAAATGCTGATAAGCAAATGATGAATGCCCATATAACCTTTCAGATTCTTCTATATCCAATCAAGCATAGGAAATTTTTTTTGTATTATTTAATGAGAAAAATACCAAAGCCAGTTGACTAAGAGCCATCCTTTTCATTAATGGGGGAAGGCAACCAAAGGTAAGTTACTATTTTCTAGGTTCCCAGTAACAACTTCCTGGAAAAACAGAAGTCTGAGAAACAGTTTCAAGCTTGTCAACATCTGTCTTGAGTAGCTGTTTCAAGCCCTGCCCCTGCCGGGGACTCTGGGAGAAGCTAGAAGAGGGGAGCTCCCATCTGTGGAAGCCAGAGGTTCCTGCTGGTGTGGGAGGGCAACTGGGGAGGCGGCAGGGGCCCCGAGATGACCAGGACTGGTGGCAGCGGACAGCCAGCCAGGCAGCCTCACTCCTGCAGGCCAGAGTGGTCTGCTTGGGTGCAGAGAGACTGGATCGCAGTTCACCTTCTGCCATCCTGACAGACAGTGCAGGAGGAATCTGATATGCTCAAAAATAATCAATTCCCTTTCCTGCTCCTGTAATAAGACACAGATACACTGCTAAAGGGCTCTTGTCGTTTGTAACAGTGCAAGTTTCTGCCTAGAGGAAAGCAGATATACATACAGAAATGATAGAAAGTATGGTTTATTACCAATGTTTTACTTTTATCTAATATTTTATGGTGAGATGTATAATACTTTGCACTGCTAAGGAGGAAGTTTATCAAATGTGTTATGAATTATTTGTAAACCATGAATTCCTTATTAAGAATCATTTCATTATTGAAAAGTGTACTTAAATGTACAATGTAAGGGATAAGTTAGGAAAAACCCTGGTAATGTATCACTAACATACATGAATAGTGTATTTACATAAATCTTTTATTAAAGCTTAGAAATGCAGCTGATGGTATTAGGGCTGCCATTTATTTTCTGTTACATAGTTATAGCATATAATAAACCAAGTTTTATCAATGTATATTTAATGTGATTTGCAACATGCAGCATGAGATGAATTAACTAAAGTTTATAACCAGTGCTGTCGTTAGTGAAATTCTTCAGTGCTTTCACCTGACCGTGAATTCAGCATGCTTGTGTTAACTTAAGGCAACTTTCAGAAGCAAGGGCCTATCAAAAATATTCCGGTGAGGACCACGGTCTTGTAACCAGATGCAAACGAACCAGTTATTAACAGACAGGACCACGAGGGTGCTAGTCTAGGAGTGTATCATGCTTCACTGTCTCCTTTCTTATTACAGTTGTCTGAGACACTGTTACTGTGGGCAGGGCACTTGCCTGCCCAGTGTGAGTGAGCCCCTAGGGCCCATCGCCAGCAACCCCCAAACAGAAAGAGCAGAGCGACTCTCTGCCACATTGCTCCTTACAGCCTGATACCTGAGCTCTGTTATAGCAGGGTCCTTTTGCTTGGCAGATCCTCACCCATTGTAAGTCCAGCAGATAATCTGGCTGGAGTACGATGGCGGTGGGACTTGTTGGTGCTACAGATGTGCATGCTCTTCATTATCCGTTTTGCACACTCTTGGCGAGGCGGGGACCATGAAGTGTATGAGCACTGTGTGCTGGGCATGTAGGACACCCCTGGGGGAGGCAGAGATATGGAGCCGACTGCAAACCGAAACAGTGGGGAACACGTCAGTTTAGGTTTGTGATGCCTTTAAGGTGTTAAAGAGTGCTCGTAGGTACCTCCTTGTCTGCTTTTCCCAACTGTCGGCAGTTTGGAGGTAATACAGCAGAGGAAACGACGGCCTTTTGATTTGTATCCTTAAGCAGTTATGAAAGGCAAGGACACAGGTATAGGCTGCTGTCACCTTTTCGGGTTGTCCCCCAGCCTGCATAAGCGTGTCTGACCTAGTAAAAAGAAGGGTCCTGGCTCTCAACTCAATCAGAAAGTGTTGTCCTTGTGCCATTTGTTCCAGATGCACAGGGATTTGTGACACAGCCTTCACGTTTCTGATGTTTCATTTTTTTTCTCAGCTAATTGCAAGGCTAATGATGCTTTGAAATTTTTTTTTTTTTGATACTTCTTTCCTTTGCTAGGGAAAAGTCACCAGTCTTTTGACCTGTATGGATAATTAATTTGTTTAAATAAGTGTTCTGAATGGGCCCCTGGTCAGCCAAAAATAGCCACTCCGCGGCTGCGGGAGAACTTTCAGTTTCCCGGGTTGCATGGCTGTGGTCTCCTCGCTGAGCAGGAAGCCCGGCTCCTCAGGGTGCTTGGTGGGAAGAGGGGTTCAGACACAAAGGAAGCAACAAAGCGCAATTTGTAATTTGTCAGCAACGCTGGAAGGTTACGAAGGCAAAGGCTCCAGCCTGTGTGACTCCGAATGACACAGCCTGCGTGGGTTGTCACGCGTCCACGCCATGCAAAAGGCGGCGCTGCTCAGTGAGAGCCCGGTGCTGCAGGATGGGTTCCAGCTGCTGGGCTGGGCCGGGTCCTGGCCTCCTCTTCGGCCAGCTGTTGATGTGCCAGGGGGAATCTTCCCAGTCGCGACTGTGCATCCCTGCTGGCTTTCTGTGACTGCCAGGTAACTGTTTCCAGTTCGTGGGAGCCTGAGTGTAACCGGCTTCATTCCTTTTTGTTGATGTCTGATAACTTTGCATCTTGCTAACTGGTACTGAAGTGAGCTCAAAAAGAGTTTTATCTATCATTGTGGGATTCTGGGCATATTGTGCCTGAGAAAGGAAGGGGTGTTGCTTAATGAACCTATGAAGATGTATTGTAAGCCCGGCATTGTGGTACTCATCTGGGGACTGAGGCAGGAGGATGCAAAGTTCAAACCTGACTTGGCCAATTTAGCAACTTAGTGGAGCTCTGCCTCAAAATAACACTAAAAAAGGCCTAGGGATGTAGCTCAGTGTGAAAACTCTGGGTTTAATTCCCAATACAAAAAAAAAAAAAAATCATCATACGTTTGCTTTGAGTGGCAGGGTCTTATAATTTTGAATAACTTTCTAAGACACTTTTCCTTCCATGGCTGAGAGAATTCAGTCAACATTTTAAAGGCAGAAATCGAATGTTTTTTGAATGATCACCCAGCAATGCATGTGCTTCCAAAGAGCTGAGCAGAGGCAGGGGGTTTTATATTTTTCTCTTCCATTTGAAGTGTTTACTAGAAAAGATACAAAATACTCCTCTTAGTGCTATGGGCACCTTCACAAAACGCCTTTTTACCTGCAGCCGGAGTTTCTTCTGTGTCCGTTACCCAGAGTAGCTTAGTTACAAAGCAGAACATTATAAAACAGGAAAGCAGCATTCACATTGCTTGTTTTGCTTTTATTTATTTACATATGTCATTTATTATACCTGTAAAAAAGAGAAGTTCTTATAAACAGCAACGAAACAGGAACACAGCAACATTGTCATTTCTTCCGGTGGATTTATTAGGACTTAGTCCAAAAAATTTAGTTTGAGAAATTCCATTTAATGTTGATAGAGTTTTGATAGAAAGTTGAACATGTAAAAGCAAAACAATGCTATTTTAAACATTAAAGACATTTACAAGATGCTAAGAGTGAATTTGCAGAGAGTGTTGATGTTACTCTTTACTACGGGTCTCAGATTCCAGGCTATAAGTTATTATGGCTCTGTTCCATGAAGAACACTAGTTTTTTCATGTGTGCTTATATTGAAGTAATTTATATACCTTATGGAGTCATGAACGATCACTTTATTTTGAAGAAGAGGAAGTCTGGCTTTCATATTTAGAAACAAAATGATTTTAAAAATTGAACTGATGGTTTGTGTCAAAACTTTTGTACACTATTGCCTCTAAAATAAATTTGTTTTATGGTTCTGACTATGTTTTCTGCTTTCCATGCATTATTTTATTTTATTTATTTTTAGAAATTTTATTTTGTTTTTTTGATACCAGAGATTGAACTCACAACCTCATGCTTTACTAGGCGAACGCTTGAGCTGCTGAGCTAAATCCCCAGCCCCGTAATGTGTTAAGACTTTCTAGTTCACACAGGTGAATGATATAGAGACCAATGAAAGGCTGTCTTATGAGACCAATTTTAAGACTTTGAAACCCAACACTTAAATGTCCTGCAGTTGAAATACCAAGTTTTTGTTCACCTAATATGATAATTGAAATGAAGACCCAGCTTTTCATTTCTCCATATACTATGATAATAAAATTTAATTTTAGGGTTGCTTGCATCTGTTACACTCCCAAGTTAAACAACCAAGAAGGAAGAAATAAGCAAACTTTTGGGCGGAATCCCGAGGAATCTACAAATAAATAGACCATGTATTGTTTTCTTCCTGAATCTACCTTCTTCTTAAACTTTTTGTGTCAGTGTATGTCTGTGACACATAGTGACTGTGTCATGGTGGGCTGCTGGGACACCTCCTCAGGTCACCTTTTGAGCCTTTCCCTCCCCTTCCTCCCCCATCCCAGGCCTCAAGTGTGTCAGAACCTAGGAAGCCAGTCCAGTCCTGCCAACTGAACTTTATTGGATAAGGCCATTGACTTGTTTTTTAAGTGTCCTCACTGTAGCCTTAAAAACCAGCTTCCTGGAATGCTGGAAGTGGATGAGCACTTTTTGCCTGAAGCTTGTTAAGCAGCATGGATTCTTTCCTCTAAGCTGGCATCAGCAGAGATGCTTTTCCAGAGGGTACTGCCAAAGCTTCACTCGCCTTGGCAGTTGCACGGACTGTTTGTGATTGCCTCTCGAGGGCAGTCATTCTGCTCCATGACGGTAGTATCCATTTTTCTTTACGTTTGTGATGATCTAAAAATGACAAAGTATTAACTATTTCTCAGTAAGCTATTAATGTGTGAATAACTCAGAATGTAATGATGTCAGGCCCATGATTTCATTCATCTTGTCTCTGAAGTGAATGTTATACTCTGCTTTGTGGATATTAAGGAATCTAAGGCAGAAGTATTTAGTTAGACATTTTGGTATTCACAGAATCTGTATTTGAACTCGGTTGTTTCATTGAATGCTTGTGCAGTGATGATAAAGTTACAGTTTTCAGGATGAAACCTTTCTGAAAATGTGTTTCACAGCAACGCAGAGAGCATCGCTGAATCCCACACCTTAGAGTGCTGCCGTGGCAATTTGTATGGTATGTATATGCAATTAAAGGTTCTGTTAGCAATGACTATTCATTAAAATTGGTAAATAAAATTTTAGTGATGAATGCAGAGGTGGTAAAATGTACACTATTTGGCTCCTCTCACATCCAGTATCTAAGTATGTAAATCTGGTCATTTCAGGGGAAATCGGCCTTCAGTTGGTTTGAATGAAGCTATAGAAAATAGTTTTCTTCCCTTATGATGAGAAGTTTATGTTTCTTTTTAAAAGTCTAGTCAGTGATGGAGCAATAAAAGATAGAATACAAACCAGAATTATGGTACCCGAGAATAAGTATATCTTAGTTTGTCATTCTGAATGTGAAGTCCACTTTTTTTGGTTTGATAAAGCACAAGAAAAATGTAGATTTTTAGTAATAGATGTGTTTCAACCATGTCATTGTTTTTCCAGTAATGAGAGTAAATCATTTATTTTTAAGATAGAGCAAAAAGGATATTTGACAAGGATTACATATTTCAGTGATGTCCAGTTATTTGTGATACCTTTCCACATAGCAGGTTAGAAATCTGTTATCTCAGATGATTAAATAATGACCACGATAAAAACCTGAACTTTTTCTCTCCTCGAAATCTGTGAAGATTTATTTGTGCATCTGTATTTTCTCAGTGTTACTCTTTATCTTCTAAATTACAAACAGATAAATAATATTGACTGACTCTTTAGAACTAAGTGCTTTAAACATTGACTGCGTTTCCCATCTAGTGTTTTGGCTGTGTTTGTTTACCTGGACCCATCCATATAACTGCATATACCCCAATTTTTATCAGTGTAAAACATGACATATGTTACTGTAAAAGTAAATCTGTATGTGTAGAGGTTTAACAGAGCTCGAGAGTTGGTGACAGCATCAGTACTGGTCCTGTCAGGCTCTGGGCAGTGTATTTGATGTTGGTTCATTCACTGGTCCCCATTTCTCCATGGCAGTTTCACGTGAGGGTATCTTGCCTCGTGCCTATCCAGTCCCTATTTCTAATGGCTGCATAAAATAGTTATTAGTATTATTACAGTAGCTAACTGCTTGAGAATTTCTAGCTTCAAATTCTTTTTTTTTTTTTTTTTTTTTTAAGGGAAAGAATCCAACCTATTCAAAGACAGGCTACTCTAGTTACTGAAGAACAAATATAACCTAATTCGGTACTTTACAAAAAAGTTAAGGTTAATGCTTTGAAAACACTGATGAATCTAGGAGAAGTATGCTGTCCTTTAACTCACTGAGTTTTTCCCATGTAACATTATTTTTGATTGACAAATCCCAGTTGTACAGGTGGGTGAGGTGCACTGTGGTATTTTGATTCACACATGCCTGGCAGAGTGCTTGACCCAAGCTAATTAATATCCATCAACTCAGCTACCATTGTTATTTGAAAATTTGAAAATTACTCTTAGCTATTTTGTAATATACCATTCTCATAGACTTTTAAAAATAAATAATTAGGAAAAAAATTAGAAAGTAAACTTCATTTTCCACCAAACGTCAAACGTAGCTTGGCTTTGCTAGGGCTTCAGTGGTAGGAAGGGTTCAGTAAGGGTGTGGGTTTCAGTTAGTGTTGCAACTGTCAGTCAGTGAGTTGGCTTGGACATTTGCACAGGTTGGGGGCCATGTGATTTAGACATCAGTCAAAATAACCGATCACAAAGCAGTGAAAGGTGTTTCCAGTTTCCATTCCAGCTGGGACCCATGCCCATATGGCCGAGGCGGGCATCTCAGCGTTGTCTCTCTCTTACTAAAGAAGGAGAAGTGGAGACTTGAGGCCTTAAGTGGCTTGCTCAAGGTTTCTTGGCTACTGAGTCATGGTCAGGAGCAAGACTGGACCCTTCCGGCTCCTGGGCCAACGTTCTCTATATCATGTCCTCTCCTCGGCTCTAGAAGGGATGGGAAGGGTGTGCCTCTGTCCTGGAGCAGCCCCATATTAATGGCTTCATCTAACTGGGTATAGGAAAAAAATTTTTTTAAAAATTGGTGCTTCTTTTAGTAAACGTAAAAACGCTGTGCTGTGCCATGGCTCTTTCTGCTCTGGGATGGGACTCTTAAGACAGTCACCAGGAGCTCTGGCAGGAAATAAGGACAGGGCCTGTCCCTGCGGTCCTTGTGTGTTTGCCTCCTTGATCTTGCCACACCATTGTCCACTCACTTGCAGTAAAACTCAGAGCCCACTCTGGCCTACGGGACCCTGAGTGGTCCGGTTTTGCAGGGTTCTGCAGCCACACTGCTTGCTCCTGGCCCTTTGATGCTTGGCCCTTCCTAGCTGTCTTTCAGTTCCCCCTCTGACACCTCAGTACTTGGGGTTCACCCTTGCTGGGGCTCCCTTCCCAGTCCTGCCTTTGCTGACTCCTTTGGGCCCCAGGCCTTCCCAAGCGCCCTGCCTTGCACAAGGTGGAATAACCCTGGGTGCAGGACCTCGTCTCCATCAGTCTGCAG